ATAAATTACTTTGGTGAACAACACTCCAACATAGGCATAAGGTAAAAACTGACTGCTACCCCTCATAAAAAAATTGCTACCTCGTGGGGTGCCTGGGTGGCTCAGTTGGTTAAACATCTGGCTCTTGATTTCAACTCAGGTCATGATTTCAAGGTTTGTGAGATGGAGCCCTGAGTTGGGCTTTGTGTTGACAACATGGATCTGCTTGGGATTCTCTCTCTCCTCGCTCTTTGTCCCTTCCCCGCTCATGCTTTCTGTCTCTTTCAAAAATAAATAAACTTGGGGCGCCTGGGTGGCTCAGTCAATTGAGCGTCCGACTTCAGCCTGAGTCATGATCTCACGATTCGTGAGTTTGAGCCCCACATCAGGCTCTGCACTCTCTATTTGGAGCCTGTTTGGGATCCTCTCTTCCTCTCTCCCTCTGCCTCTCCCCTGCTCAGTCTCTCTCTCTTTCAAAAATAAATAAAACATTTAAAAATAAACAAACTTAAAAGAAAATTGCTACCTATCTTAAAGGGGACACTAGATGGAGTGAAATGGGAGAATGGGATGGTAGAGAGCACCAAATTCTCAACTGCCACAAGTTACTAAAGTAAAATATAGGAATGTCAAGAAATACTTGTATAAGTATGTAATTTAGAAATATGAAGATTAATGCCTGCTACAAACAGCTCAGATTTATTTTATTTTTTCTTAACGTTTTATTTATTTCTAGGAGAGAGAGAGAGACAGCGTGAGCAGGGGAGGGTCAGAGAGAGAGGGAGGCACAGACTGAAACAGGCTCCAGGCTCTGAGCTGGCAGTCGGCACAGAGCCCGACGCGGGGCCCGAACCCACGAACCGCGAGATTATGACCTAAGCGAAAGTCGGACGCTTAACCGACTAAGCCACCCAGGCGCCCCAAAACAGCTCAGAGTTTAAAGTGGAATCCTTGTGGAGCTGGACTTGGGGTGGGGAGTTTAAAGCTGGGGGCTGGCACTGTTTATTATAACTCCTTTGAGATTATTTGGATTTTTAATCTATGTACATTGCTTTGTTAAGAACAAAATAAGTAGTCCTAAAGAGACATTTCCCTTCATCTCCTTTTTGAAAGATAAAACTTATTAATTTAGCATAAAAAAATAACTCCCTAATTTAAAAAAGCCATAAATGTCAAAAATATCAAGGTAGTAGTAAAGCATGCATTAAGCTCCTACAAATAGTGTTTTAATTAAAAAAATTTTTAATGTTTATTTTTGAGAGAGACAGAGCACAAGCGGGGGAGGTGCAGAGAGTGAGGGAGACACAAAATCTGAAGCATCTCCAGGCTCAGCACAGAGCCAACACGGGGCTTGTACTCGCAAACCATGAGATTGTAACACTTAACCGACTGAGCTACCTAGGTACCCCTCCTACAAATCGTGCTTTTTAAGTCATCCAGGCATTCCTGAACCTTTCTTGGTCAAGTGCTTTAAACATTTTCTATAATTAAAGATTTACAAAGCACTATAGAGCTTTATAGTGTAACATATATTTCAATATATAAAATTTATATATTGTTATATATATTTTTAAATATATAGTGTAACATATGTGTATATATACATATAAATATATGTCTATTTTTAAAATTTTAAGTAGGCTTTACACCCAGTGCAGAGCCCAATGCAGGCCTTGAACTCATGACCCTGAGATCAAGACCTGAGCTGAGATGAAAAGCCTGATGCTTAATCAGGTAAGCCACCCAAATGCCCATAAAAAATATACTTTAAGCAGTCATTACCTATATCCCACTCCATGCTAAGAAATGTATAATCTTAGTTTGATAGTGAACCCTCTATACTGCAGCTGTTCTCCACATTAGGGTATCCAACATTCCATATGAAATGTGGATAATGATGTTATGCCTTAAAGTTTTTACACTTTTAAAGCTCTCTTGGTAGGGCACCTGAGTAGCTCAGTTGTTTAAGTGTCTGACTCGTGATTTTGGTTCACATCAGGATCTTACGCTTTGTGGGACTGTGCCCCTAGTTGGATTCTGCACTGTACAGCATGGAGCCTGTTTGGAATTTTCTCTCTTTTCCCTTTCCTCCCTTGCTTGCATAAGCACATGTGCTCTCTCTCTCAAAATAAACAAACACATATAAAAAAGATCTCTTGGTATATTTAACACAGAAATGCTGGTAAGATTATTATTACTTCAGTGAGGTAAGCATTAGAATTTCAGGCCAAGTTATAGGAGGTATTCAGATGGATAAGAAATGTTTCCCTGAGTTTGAGAGCCAGAACGTTTACAAGAAAGGTATTCCAGGGGCACCTGGGTGGCTCAGTTGGTTGAGTATGACTCTTGGTTTTGGCTCAGGTGATGATCTCAAGGTTTGTGAGTTTGAGCCCCACACTGGGCTCTATGCTGACAGTGTGGAGCCTGCTTATTCTCTCCCTCTCTCTCTGCTCCCTCTCAATATAAACAAATAAACTTAAAAGAAGAAAAGGAATGTATCATAAACCTGACTTAAAAGAGGGAAGGTTCATGCTTACAAACCATACATTTCCAGAAACTTTTCTAATTGGGAGCTCTGTAAGACATTCAAAATGGTGCCATGTTTAAAAAACATTTATCCTTACAAGTAGTAGGATGCTTTTTGAAAATCTATTGTTTACTCTTTTAAACTATTCTGATCTAAAGAAAGAACTGAAGTTTAAGAAAGGGGAAAATGAACATAAAAAAATGTTTATTTCTAGCCCTGAAAGAACAAAATTATTGAACAAAGTCATCAAATACAGCAGTTAATGTCAATGTAACAATTAAATAATTGAATGGGATTAAATTAAAAATAAAAGTGAATATAAAATTTGAAGACAAAACAGAAAAGACAAGCTACTTTCACTTAATTCCATTTCTATCTACCAAAATAAGGGGGGAAACGCAACACATTTCTACCAAAGATGTCCAATTCCAAATAGTATCCTTTTTCTTAATACAGAATGAAAATTTGTTGACAAAATTCTACATTTCTTTCTTCCTTTCACTGGGCAACACTGTAGAATGGTGAGTAAAAAGGACCTCAACTCTCAAGGCCAGGCCAGTGCTTGATTCTTTGTAATTCCCACAATGTCTACCACAATGTTTTTGCCAAAGTGGTCAATATACGTGTTGAGTGATTAGAAAAAGTGTGTGTGTTTTTTTTCCTTTCTTATACATACACATATACACATGCTGAGGGAAAACTAATTTTAAATGTTTAGCTATCTACTGTGGAAGCAATGGGAACATGGAAGACAATCTTTAACCATGAAATTCTACTATCAAAAACCCAAAAGGAGTATGAATCTGGATTTTAGCTATAATTCTATAATGATTTTTTAACATTTCACTGGATATGGATCTTATTATACTTAAAGGTTTTAAATTAAGAAAACTGGTGCAAATTGTTTAAGCACCGATTTTTTTCTAACTAACTATACCTACAGCCCAATCAGATCTAAAATTGTTCTGGCTAGAATACAGTATATATAAACAGACATGTATTTATGTGAGCCCTATAAAGAAATACTCATAGGTAGTTTTAAATTGCTTATTAAAGGCACAGGTTCATTTAGGACTGGTGTAACTAGATACATTTTAAGCAGCTTAATACGTGTGGAAGGGAAGAGTATTCTATGAGCCAGGCACTCAACACACAAATATAGTTGTGTTAGCTCTGGTTTCTTACGCTATCACAACCACTCTAATTGTTTAGTATACTAAGTAGGAAAACGTATTCAGTATTTTCATGGTTTCCCAGTTTTAACTGTCCCTAAAAGCAGCAAAAGGAACAAGAGGAGAAGGAAACTTTAAGACCACTAGAAAGTCTGAAATATAATAAATAAGTACTATAGTTATATTGTTCTAATAACACAAGAGGAAAACTCAGGTAACTTTTAGATTTCAATGGGAATCTTCATTCTAAAGTGAGGACAAAAAGGGTGAATTCAAAAGGCAGTTATTAAAAAAAATGAACTTGATTCAGATATAATTTTCTTTTAACAAGATCTGAACATTTTAATTTAAAATTAACTAATAAATCACAATTTCATATTGCTTTTAGGATTATTTTGTTTAAAAATGACACGTTTCAGAATTAACCAAAGTATATTTCTATTACAAGTTAGTTTATCCAAGTAAGTAAAGAATAAACCACAGTGTAGCTCCCTTAACCTAGGAGTCAGGTTTTAATGACAAAGTCCGTTGCCAGCAATGGACATGCAGGTAACCCTCAAAGAAGTTGTAAATACAAATCCCAGACTGCTTCTATAAACTGAAAAGACCTTTGTTGAGTCACAGGTATAAAAATGGGGCACTGGCACTGAATTGAAGGAATATGGTCTTTACGACATATGTATGGAAGGGCCTTCTAGAGTGGTCACGAGGATCACAGTCTTAACGTCTAGTTGGTTTTCTACTTCACTGGTAGCATCTTCTTTATTGTAATCCATCCAAACAACTATTTACACAGAATGTTCAAATCTGAAACTCAACAGGCACTATAGATTTTCATCAGAAATAAACCAGCTTGTTTCTGTAAGTTAATTTAGTAATAGCTGTAGGTGGCCAATATAACCCAAAGAAAAATGAAATCAAGAATCAAACTGGGGGCACCGGGGTGGCTCAATCGGTTTAAGTGCCCGACTTCGGCTCAGGGCATGGTCTCGCAGTTTGTGAATTCAAGCCCCGTGTCAGGCTCTGTGCTGACAGCTTGGAGCCTGGAGCCTGCTTCAGATTCTGTGTCTCTCCCTCTCTTTTTGCCTCTCCCCTGCTTACTCTGTCTCTCTCTCTCTCTCAGAAATAAACTTAAAAAAAAAAAAAGAAAGAATCACACTGAAAACAGAGACCATTAAGTGTTCTAGGTAAAAGTTCCACTAATTATTTTACACACTTTTGTGAAAACTTTGCATTATCAATAAAAAAAACAGCCATTTCTATCCTTGTATCTTAACATAGATGTGATGAAAATGATAGCACATAAAATTCTACTAGTTCCCTTAAAGTAATCAAAGTTATTTGTATTGATGACCTGTACTACTGCAGGGTGGCAAGTAGGTGCGAAGCTAATTAGGAGTGTTGCTGGGAACAAAATGCCTGAACCAAACCAGATTTTTTTCTTTTGTGAGGCTTGAGGGATGACACTACTTCCACAAGAAAACAATGAAAAATAAAGAGAGAACAAAGGAGGGGACAGAAGGGGAGGGGAGAAGAAAGGGCACTCTCATAATTAATGCTACAGGTCACAGACCCTCTTAAAAACTTTAAAATAAAAAAAGTATTGCTATCAACAAGCATATTTCATTTTTCTTCCTCTTCTTTTTTTACATAATTATTACTTTTTTTTTTTTTTGAAAAAAATCTAGAGTAACTCAACATCTCAAATAATCCACAAATTTATCAAGAACTTTGTCACGTAAGTTCTCACAGACAGGAAGTACTGGGTTGGGAACAATATTTATAACAAACCTCCACAGTTTACTGGTCAGAAGCCGCATCTCGATGTAACTGTCATTTCTCTTACATGAGCAGAAGCTTATCTAATTATTTTAGAGTTCTCACTTTGTTTCTGCTAGCTCCAGATATTTTTCTCCTTTAAATGGAAAAAAAAATTAACTTTTAAATTCTGAAAATTCAATGGTTATTAGATTTACCGAAGGGAGAGGGGTGGAATAGGGTGAGAGTTAATTAAAAAACAAACTAACTAAAATTACAACATATACAGAAAGTTATTTCCAAAATGAAAGGAAAAAAGGGGGAAGGGCAAAGTAGCACTACCAACCAGTCACAAAGCCCAAGTTGGAACAAGAAAGAGCAAATAACTTTGGTTCCTAAAGCCCAATCTGAAGAGGATGCAGTTAGAAAGGAAACAAAACTGTAAGGATGTATAATCAATGGGATTCTTTTTCTGTCTCAATGATTTAGTTATAAATATAGATTATTAGTCTCTCTATACATGTAACAAATGGCAAACAACTCACTACCATGAAATTTCTAAAATTGACTCTTTCACATTGTTAAAAAAGGTAAAAATCACGTATTTTTCTTCCCTTCCTTCAGTTCAAATTATGAACTGAAATACTACATGTAATAATAGCTGGCCCTAACTTCTATACAAAGCTAAACGATTTTGAGCTCCTTTGCCAATATAAGGAGCTACATTAATTTTTATTACATTTGCCTCAAATTTAGGCTCAAGAAAAATTTCTCAAAGCAACTCAAAAAGAGCATTCAAGGGGAAAAAAGGCTATGGAGAGAAAAGACTAGCAGTTGAAACAAATACTCTTGAAAAACTCGAATCTGCCATTCAAGTATTGAAAATACCCCCACAAAAAGGACAATGAATGGGATCTACCACAATGAAATCAGCAAAATGAAATGCAAATCTCAAGCATGATAAATGGCCCTGATGGGCTGTCTGCTGAATCACTAGCCTTCAGTCCACAATTCCTTTTGGACCCTATAAAGAAGGGATTCAATGGAAAGTTGTCATTCCGTTTTGTAATTTTCTCTTGGTTGTCTTCAGGAAGCAATCGTTTGCTTTTTCCTCCATGTTATGCAGACCATTTCTTTAAACCCCAAAAGAGTAATAATTTTCATATATTAAAAGATTTCTTTTAGAAAACGGAAGAAAGACTACGAGGCCACGGGAATGATGCTAACGGTTACTCTTCATTGCTTCTTTAGCTGCCATGATGAGTGGTGTCAAGCTGGACAATGGTTTGGCCAGTTTCAGGAAGGGATGCTGCCAGAAATAGGGGGAAAGATGTATGAACATCATCAGTTTAGAAGCTAAATATTTCCTTTCATTTAAACCCCAAAGACTATTTTATGGATTATAATTTAACAAACACATATTTCAGTATGTGTATAAAATCAACATAATCAATATATCAATTTTATAGCTGAAATCAGTCTTTTTAGTTCATCTAATATTATAAAATCTCACCTAAATGACCCAGATATCCACACCAGCAATGGACTTGTCTGAGAACTTACAACATGCACAAACCCATATACCTAATTTTAGTATTAAAGCTATGTTATTCTAGCAGATACAATCCTAAACTGCAGCAGCTGTGATGTTGCTGGTAATAAATGAAGATCAAAATGTTAATTATTAACCCTATGTAAACTTTCTGTTGGTTACTCAAAAAAGTCAACTTTACCCCAAAACAGTATTATTTCCAAATTCACCTGTAACAATTCTTTGGCCGAACCCCTTTTCTCCACATCCATTTCCAAACAACGGTTTAAGAAATCCCGAAATATTGGGGAAAGTTTCTCCGGATTCTGAAGTTCTGGAGTTCCATTAGTTGCTATCAGGTACAAGGCCTAAAAACAGAAGAACATCTTTGATATACTTAAGGTAGCATAACACAGTGAGACAGCATTTTATAAACTTTATGGATCTTTTACTTAATTTTTTTTAAAGTTTTTTTTTAATTGGGGCACCTGGGTGCCTCAGGCAGTTGAGTATCTGACTCTTGATATCGGCTCAGGTCATGATCTCATGGTTTGTGAGTTTGAGCTCCGTGCAGGGCTCTGTGCTGATAGCTCAAAGCCTGCTAGGGATTCTGTCTTCTCTCAATCTCTCTGACACTCCCCTAGCAGCGGGGGGTGGGGAGAGACAATCAACAGAAATACTAAATTGAGGGGCGCCTGGGTGGCTTAGTCGGTTAAGCTTAGGTCAAGATCTCGCGGTTCGTGGGTTTGAGCCCCGCGTCGGGCTCTGTGCTGACTGCCAGCTCAGAGCCTGGAGCCTGTTTCAGTCTGTGACTCCCTCTCTCTCTGACCTCCCCTGCTCACGCTGTCTCTCTCTCTCTCTCCTAGAAATAAATAAAAAACATAAAAAAAAAAATACTAAATTGAGGTTTAGTATTATTTCTGCCTATTTGTTTCAGATATTTTCCCTTAACTTTTGGTATTTTTAAATGTTTATTTATTTTGAGAGAGCACACATGGGGAGTGGCAGAGAGAGAGAAAGACAGAGAGAGAGAGAGAGACAGAGAGAGAGAGAGACAGAGAGAGAGAGAGAGAGAATCCCATGCTTGCTCTACACCCAGTGCAGAGTCTGACAAGGTGTTAGGTCTCACGACTGTGAGATCATAACCTGAGCTGAAGTCAGATGCTTAACCAACTGACCCATGCAGGTGTCCCCTTTATTTTTAGATGTTACATTCTCCTAATTTCTTTTTCACTTTTTTTTTTTTTTTAACATTTATTTCTGAGAGACAGAGAGAGGCAGAACATAAGCAGGGGAGGGGAAGAGAGAGAATGAGACCCAGAATCCGAAGCAGGCTCCAGGCTCTGAGCTGTCAGCACAGAGCCCAATGTGGGGTTTGAACTCAGAAACCCTGAGATCATCACCTGAGCCGAAGTCAGATGGTTAACTGACTGAGCCACCCAGGTGCATCTCCTAATTTCTTTTTCAAAAATTAGCTTCATCTTTTTGGGGAGGGATTATAATAAATGTAATAATATTGGTAAAAGAATTATAATACATAAGGGTAGAAAGGAAAATGAGCACAATCTCAATATCCACATATAGCATCCATTTACCTTTCTCAAGTCACACCAGATTTTAAAACAATGGGACTACTTGAAACTTTTTTTTTTTAAAGTAGCCATATCTATAAAGCTATTGATGGAACAGGTAGAACATGGAGGATTTTGAGGGCAGTGAAAATACTATGTATGGTAATGGACATATGTTATTATTCATTATACATTTATCCAGACCCACAGAATTGTACAACACTTGTGCACCCTACTGTTACAGACTCTGGGTGATAATGAGGTGGTAATGTAGGTTCACGGAAAGTGGAATGTACCCTCTGATGGGGGATGCTGACAATGGGGGAGGTTCTTACATTAATTAATACAATTAATTACATCAATTAATTAATTACATTAATACACTTTTACAAGTGAAGGACCACTACTGATATACTTTCATTAAATGAAAGTCTAAGGCTTACACTGGCGTTCACTCTTTGCGGTGTATAGTTCTAATGATTTTGACAAATGCACACTGTCATGTTTCTGACATTATAGTATCCTACAGAATAATTTCACTGTCCTAAAAATCTCTTGTGCTCCACCCATTCATCCTCCCCATCCCATCTCTGCAAACATCTAGCAACCACATATCATTTTAGTTCTCTATAGATGAAATCACGTCTTCTAAGGTGGTTGTACCATTTTCCATCCCCATCAGCAATAAAGGAAAGTGCCCACTGCTCCACATTCTCACCAGCATTTAGTATCATCATTAAAAAAATTTTTTAAGGCCATTCTAATAGGTGTGTATCTTAGTGTTGTTTTAATTTTGCAGTTCCCAATAACATGACGTTGAACATCTTATTATATGCTTATCTACCAACTGTGTATCTTCTTTAGTTGTCTATGGAGATCTTTTGTCCATTTTTACATTAGGTTGTTTATTTTCTTATTGGTGAAGTTTGAAGGGTTCTTTAATATTTTGATCATCTAATGGGTGTTTTGGAAATATTTTCTCCCAGTCAGTGACTTGTCTTTTCATCCTCTTAATAATGTCCTTGTCAGAAAGGAGATTCTAATTTTAATAAAGTCCAATTTATTCTTTCATGGATCATGCTTTTTGATGTTCTATCTAAAAACATTGCCAAACCCAAGGTCACCTAAATTTTTTCCCGAATTACTTCACGTTTCTGCTGTATCACCAAATTGCCATCAGAAAAGGATACTGACACTCAAGCCATCAGGACATGAGTGTGCCCTTTTTTTTTTTTTTTGCTACCTGAGTTCACTCCTCTTTATGTGATACCTTCAAAATTTTCATTTACCAATGACATGCTAAGACATTACCTGAGATAGCAATTCAAGTGAAGATCTTCAGGCTGTCGAGGCCACATACTTCCATCAGAGGGGGGTCAAGAGGGAAGCCCATAAAAACAAGCACTCCTGTCAAGTATGCCTTCTCTCCAAACGCTTAACAGCCATTTTTCTACCTTGAAATAAATCTTATTACCTTCTGTATCTGCATTCATGCTACTGATTACAAGCAGCGCGGACTCCCAGCCATATAGAACTGCAGCTTCTATACTCTCGTGTCCACGTGGCTCTGCACACTCCCCTTTCTGCCTTCATTTTTTCATATACCACTGCCCCTCCTTTTCTGAACTGTTCTCCTCTGACAAACTGCCTCATCCACAGTGCTCTCTAGGAGTAGCCCAGTCCCTTTCAGCCCTTTTGTATCACTGCACCTAGAGAAGGGGTGTCCTTGTGGCTCCTCATTGCCGGGAGATCTCTGCCTGCCTCCTCCGGAACTCCCCGGCTTTCAAACTCATCTGCCTGACTTTGTTTCAAACATCTACCAACATTGTTATCATCTCTAACACTGCTCACAATTCAGAGCGATTTCAGTAGCTACAAAGATGTCTGTGACAGTTCCCTGACCTCCTCTTTTCCCACGCTCATGTGCTTTGGCCTCCCTTGGTCACACAAGCCCATGGTCACAGCCTGTGCCTCATCAGTACTCATGACTGCAACTCTGAAATCACAGTTGCTGTCCACCTGCTACCTTCTTCATTCTGAACACCAAAACACTGGAATCCTTTGACTCAACTAAACCTAAATAAATCCCACTGATCTTCCAGTGTTCATTATTCATTATTATTATTGAATTATTATTCATTATTGATTATATAATCACTTTGACCCTCTTGCACTCCTAGCAATCACTTTGCTACACATTAAACTTGGCCTGCTCTTTGCTTGTACCTCTGCAGCTAAGGACAGCAGAAGAAAAAGATAGATGCCTACTGACTGGCATCATTAACCTCAGAAAGGCCGTTGGTGCTTCCAGCACTCGTACTACAGATTTCCCTATTTCACTCCTCCTCCCACTCTGGTTTCTGTTTCAGGACACTCACCATACATTACATTTCGTTGTCATGTCTCCTTGGGCTCCTCTTGGCAATGACACTTTCTCAGACTTTCTTTGCTTTTGATGACTTTGACAGTGTGGAGTATTATCAGGTTTTATTTCATAAAATGCTTTCTACTGGAATTTGATGTTTTCTTCATGATTAGGGTGAGAATATGTGTTTTGGGAAGAAGCAGTGTCACAGAGTGCCACTTTCATTGGATCGTATCAAAAATACATACTATCAAAATAGTTTATGACTGTTGATGTTGACTTTTTTACCTGGCTGAGGCAATGCCTGTCAGGCTTTTTTCTGTTGCAAAGTTAGTCTTCTCCTTTCTTTTCTTACTGTGCTCTTCAGAAGAAAATCACTCTGTGCAGTCTATACTTAAGGAGTATGGAATTATGCTCCATTGCTCTTATGGTGGAACATCCACACAAATTATTTGAAATTTTTCTGCATGAGAGTTGTCTCTTCTGCCCATTTATTTATTCAATTACTTACTTATATCAGCATGGACACATAAATATTATTTTATACTTTGAATTATTATCCCTTTATTTTGTCCACAAACTGTTGCATCTTTGGCCACTGGAGCTCTTTAAGTTGGCACCTTGCCTTTTTGACAAACCCGTCAATGTGGGCTCTTCTCTTTAACTCAGTATATTTATGATTCTGTTTTATCTCCTTAGCTGAATTTTATTAGGTGTAATTCTTTCATAATTTCATAATTTTAGGGCTTGCTTAAGAGGTGAGGGCATACATCTTTCAATTTTCACAATTGTCAGAATATTACACCAGACTACAACAATCTTATGGGTTTCCTCCTCAGCCTTATGCTTTTGTTACCATTTTTACTTGTACATATTTTTTTTCTCCCCCTTCCATTATTATTTTGATGTAAAGAGTTTTATCATTTACTTGTTTAAATGTTTATTTTATATTTGAGAGAGAGAGACGGAGCATGAGCAGGGGAGGGGCAGAGAGAGATGGAGAAAGAATCTGAAGCAGGCTCCAGGCTCAGCACAGAACCCAATGTAGGGCTTGATCTCACGAACCTCAAGATCATGATCTGGGCTGAAGTCAGGCGCTTAACCAACTGAGCCACCCAGGTGTCCCAACTGTTTTATCTTAAAGATATTTACATAAGAGGGGCGCCTGGGTGGCTTAGTTGGTTAAGCGTCTGACTTTTGCTTAGGTCATGATCTCGTGGTTCGTGGGTTTGAGCCCCGCGTTGGGCTCTGTGCTGACTGCCAGGTCAGAGCCTGGAGCCTATTTCAGTCTGTGACTCCCTCTCTCTCTGACCCTCCTCTGCTCACGCTGTCTCTCTCTCTCTCCTAGAAATAAATAAAACATTAAAAAAAAATAATTATAAAAAAAAAAGATATTTACATAAGAAAAAAATTGTATTTATTTACTCACATA